CAGGCCCGCGGGGGCCCCACGTGGACGTGGAGACCGCGGTGTTTCCTCTCGAGGCCCAAAGCGTTGGTCCTTGCACCGGCAGCGCGTTGCCAAGCCCGACCGCCCAGGAAGCAGCGCGCAAAGACTCCCTTGAGCCAAAACCTGGCAGCCAGTTTACATGGGAACCCGAGCAGCCTACGCCTCTAAGGCCCACCGCCCCCAAGCCCCCTAGCCCCCAGAGCCCATCAGGGAAGGACCCCAACAACCTCAGCGCGCTGTCCCTGAGCTCAGTGGACAGTAACGAAAGGGCAGAAGGTCCTGTGCCCTTCCCGGATTTGGTGCCAGCCACCTGTGACAACGGCAGTGAGGACAGCGGGTCCAGAAGCCACCCTCAGCTGAGCCTCGGCGAGGCTTCGGGTCCCGAAGAAAAGGAGGAGGAGGTAAGGGCAGGGCAGGGCCCTCTTGTACACGCCCCGAGGCAGGACGGGTGCTTGGGACAGCGCCCCCTTCGTCCTTGCTGGAGGTTGCCCAGGTGCACACGTGCTTTCCTTGGCGTTTACTCTTTTTCTTTAACTTAACCACAGGAGCAGGCGGACTCTGCTGATTGTCCCACCATTACAGTTATTCTTGTCAACCTGCTGCTTACCACATTCAGCGGTCATCTTTATCTCTTTTGAAATGAATGACTAATGTAGGAAATTTCTTGGGATGGCACTTACCACACCATATATTCAAAAGATACTTATTGAGAACCAACTATGTGCTAGATTGGGGGTGGGGGTGGGGTAGTTGAAAAAGACCTGTCTTCCATTCCAAGCAGCTAATAGGGGCTCTCAAAGTTTTTATTTTTGATACATTTGTTATTACCCACATACTTCTCTTTATATTTTAAATGGTTTCTGTATCCTTTTCCACTGAGTGCATATAAATGAGATTCTTTGTGTTAAGAGACCATTACGAGTTCTAAGTCTGTTTTACTTCCTGGGAATGAATTAGAAATGTGCAGTTTGATACCTGTCAAGCCCTGAGCAATGCTGGTTCAAAGCAACTTTTATGATGGTTATTGAACTTATTTTTAGAGGAGAACATAAGCATCTCATGAATTGAATCAGCTAATAACTGTCAAGGCTACAAAAGCAATGTTCTTTTCATATCCTGTCAAGCCAGACAACTTACCTCACTGTATAATTTTCACTTTATAAATGCATTCGGTAATATTACCTTACAGAGCTGAAAGATGAGCAAATGCATTCATGTGTATATATTGCAAATTATTCTTCACATATATTTCTAGACTGTTTTACAGGTGTAAATTGGTGCTTGCCATAGAAAATAATCCCCTGGCAACTATTTCTTCCCCCGATCCCTAAAGAGGAACTCAGTTTTGGATTAATGCTGCTGATAAATGATTATGCTACATCTTTTGGAAGCTGGAGAGCTTTTGGAGTGTCCATTTAAAAAAAATCTTTATTGTTGAAAGTATCACATATGTCCCTCCTCTTTTATCCCCCCATTGATCCACTCCAGCCCGTCCCTGCCCCCCCCGCCCCAGGCCTTCACCACCCTATTGTCTGTGTCCATGGGTTTTACAATATGCATGCAAGGTCTTTGGTTGATTTGCTCCCATCTACCCACCCTCCCTCGCCTTCTCTCTGAGATTCCACACTCTCTTCCATGCTTCCATGTTCTTGGATCCACTCCGTTCATTAGTTTATTTTGTTCATTAGATTCCACATACGAGTGAGATCATGTGGTACTTGTCTTTCTCTGACTGCCTCATTTCACTTAGCATGATACTCTCCAGGTCCCTCCATGCTGTCTCTAAGGGTAAGAGATCCTTCTTTTTTACTGCTGTATAGTATTCCATGGTATAAATATACCACAGCTTTTTTTTATCTACTCATCTAATTGATGGGCACTTGGGCTGTTTCCAGATCTTAGCCATTGTAAATTGTGCTGCTATGAACATAGTGGTGCATACATTCTTTCTGATTGGTGCTTCGGGTTTCATAGGATATATTCCTAGAAGTGGGATCACTGGGTCAAATGGCAGTTCCATATTTAATTTTTTGAGGAAACTCCATACTGTTTTCCATAATGGCTGCATCAGTCTGCATTCCCACCAGCAGTGCACTAGGGCTCCCTTTTCTCTACATCCTCACTAGCACTTATCATTTGTTGATAGTAGCCATTCTGACAGGTGTGAGGTGGTACCTTGTTGTTTTAATGGTTTATTTTGCTTTCTTGTGCAGAAGCTTTTTATTTTGATGTATGGACAGTCCATTTTTTACCTTTGCTTTACAGAGAGACTTAGAAAGCAAAGCCTATTGCAGATGACTTTCAGATATACCAGTAAATCAGCCTGAAGGAACCCTGGGCAGCCAGAGCAGTGAGTTGGCATCACTTTGTGGACCTAGGTTTATATGAGACCTCAGGGCCAGTATGTCTTCCAGAAGTCTTATATATGAGCACCATTTGTTCATTTGCAGATTTCCAAAGAAGCCTTGTGAAACAGTTGTGAGGACACAGGACTCGCTGCCAGCTTTGGGAAGGCATTCCAGTGCTGCTAGCTCTGCTTTATGTAATTGGCCAAGACCTGAACCAGTCAGGGCTTCACTCCTTCCTGGTTGATGAGATGAAGCACAATTCCTTCCACCAGATACCCTGAACTGTCACACTGAGGGTTTGGGACTATCCTTCCCACCCCCCTACTTCCCATACATAAAATAATTTGCATAAGTCTAGAGGGTTTTTATGTTAAGGTGGAGATTTTATTTTTTGTTTAACAAAATTAGTAAATAATCATTAAAATATTTTATTCCTGAGTGCATATTAAGTGAATATATGCAAGGGTTAGTTTCTTTAAAAAAAAATTAATTTGGGAGGGAGAGAAACATTAATTTGTTGTTCCACTTATTTATCTATTCATTGGTAGATTCTTGTATGTGCTCTGACCAGGGATCGAACCCACAACCTTGGTGTATCGGAGCAATACTCTAACCAATTGAGTTACCCGGCCAGGGCCATGCAAGGGTTAATTTCTAACTTAGTTACTTCCCCAGTGATTTGATCAGGTATATTTGTTATTCTTAATTATATATGATTTAATTTCTACCCACAAGGGACCACCAAATATATAAAGCAGATAGACACAAGTTATTAAAATTCCATATATATTGATAGATAATTCTATAAATTTGCCTTAAGATAGTCATCACATTTTTAAGTTGTATTTATATCCTCAAAATTCTTATATAGCACATCAAGCTTCCTCTTGTACTTTTAATGTAAATGTCAAAAAGAGAAAAATATAATGATAATTTTGCCCAATTTTTATTTTATGTATTGGTGATCTTTAGTTTTACTTGAAGGGAAGTGCTTGTAAAATATAACCTAAAACTTTCTCTTATTCATTTATTTATTTATTATTTATTTTTGCTTAAACAACAGAAATTTATTTTGTTACAATTCTGGAAGCTAGAAGACCCAGACTTTCTCTTTTATTTTGACATTTAGAAACAAAATACAAACAAAATGAAACAAATAAAAACAAAAAACACCTTGAAAAATGCAAGAATTCCAACCTTCATGGGTTAAAAGCAGTTTTTATTTACCTTGTATAGCATTACACAAAATTAAATTTCAGTATATTGTATCTTAATGTATAGTGTTTTTTTTTAATGTATTGATAGTATAGTTCTGTTTTCATGTGCAAAGATCGTTTAAGCTGTGGCGATTATTGAGTACAAAAAGGTTGGAATCTGCATATTATGATATTTAATATATAATGTATTTTCAATAAGTGAGATTAATTTTTTATTTAAAATCTTTCTTTGTAACTAGCCACTCTAAAAGTGACAAAATATTTTTTTGAACTCTAAGCTGTTTAACACGATTTTATGTTACTATAAAAAGGATTTGGGAAATGTCAGGCTTCATTTATAAAGCATTGTAGAAACATCACCTCCTTAATGTAATACTTCTGCCACCTAGTGGTAAACTTTGTTGTGAGAACAAAGATCAATTGAAGGAATTCCTAAAATTGTTATTTGATTTAAACATGCAGTGTAGCATTTATACTTGTACATAGTGCTCCCTAAACATTATAAAGGTACAGGCACAGGAATTTAGTGTTAATGCTGGTTTTCCTACCCAGTCACGCAACAATGCCTTTGGCTGAATTGTGTCACGGGTAACGGGGTCCTGTCCTTAGTTATGCAGTATAGATTCAGTAATTCGTGATAGTGTTGAACTATGCCATAGATAGTGATTTCAACCTTTTTCATCTCATGACACACATAAACTAATAACTAAAATTTGGCGGCACACCACAAAAAATATTATATTTTGCTGATCTGACAAAAATATAGGTGTATTTTTGATTCATTCACACCAGAGAGCTATTATTGTATTGGCTGTTGTCATTTTTTTTATTTGACAGTCTAACAGAAAAGAGGTCAGTGCCTCTGACTAAATAGGTGTTGCATGGTTTAAAACTTCTTGCAGGACACTGGTTTGCTGCCATAGATGAAGCCCTTTTAAATGATGAGAATCCACTGTAACTCCTTCATAGGGAGCTTTAGTCTTTTGGTAAATGTTTCTAGTTTGGTAGGGATCTTGGTTCTGCCATTCAAAAGATACCTAGCATTGGGCAAACTGTTGAACTTTTGTTGGCCAAAATCTGTTCAAGGATAGAATGTGGAATAGCTTTATCTGCCTTGGAGGTTTGTCACAACTAAGAAAATTAGGCATGTTAAAAACTTAGCCTCGTGTTTAACACTGGCTGTCACTCTGTGATGATTACATCAGTTTAGATGATTTTTCCATCCTAGGTTGACCTGACTTCTTAAGATATGGGCCAGTTAAGGCCAGTTTTTTCCAAAACTGGTTTTTAAATGCCACTGTGTAATATAGCCTTAGGGGGGATTGTGAAGTTCTTCAATTAGTTTGACTTCACATTAATTTCTTTTAAATGCCTGAGAGATAGGTTTTACCATAACCCAGTCTTTGTATTATTTTAATAATGCACCAAACTAAATTTGTTAAGCACCTGCCAGGTATGAAACAGGCATAGTTCTATAAGGAAGAGTAGTTGATGTTGTCAAGGAAATTATAGATGAGCTAAGATGTGTCTAAATCACAGTAGAACTATGCAGAATGGATTAAATACCCCAAAAGAAGTAAAACCATAATGCTCTAGGATTTTGGAAGAGTTGTAGTTTTCACTCATGTACCAAGTCAAGGAAGACTTAATAAGGGTGATCAACTCTGATTTGAAGAAGGTGAGATTTTTGCAGGTAGTTATGGAGGGAAAGGTGGGGCATTTCAGTAGTCAGATGTACAGAGATTTTGTGTGATTTGAGAGAACAAGAAATAACATAACTTTATTTGGTGTAGGGAAATCGTCAGATGTAAGATTTTGTGTGATTTGAGAGAACAAGAAATAACATAACTTTATTTGGTGTAGGGAAATCATGCAAGTTAGGATGAAATTATCCAGATGATGGACACTCTGAAATTCCAGAGTTAAAGAATCTATACATTACTTGGTAACTGCCGAGGAATCAAGGATGTTTTTGAACAGAGAAGAGCCAGGCTCAGAACTGTGTTTTGGAGAAATTAATCCGCCACTGGAAAGAAAGGTAACCAGCGGGAACGCTATCAGGAATGTATTGCC